CAACCAACGACCGATCAACGGGAACATCGCACTCCAAAAAAGCAAGCGAATGCAACGGAATCAAAGCGAAAATCTGTAAGTCCGAAATTTATTATTGTAAATCAGAACATTAACGAATAAATGCAAATTAATTGAAACATAAGAATCAAAAGTGAACATAACCCGATCGTACAATTATTACAAAAATTCTATATCACGAAACCGAGTGACGAATCTATCTAACTCCAATCTTACATTACGCACACACATACGCGCTTACACAGATTGACATATCTTCGACACATCTTTTCTTTTACATCGTAATACGCTTAATTCTTTTTATTTCAATCACTACGCATGATAAGAAAAATTCTTACAATCACAGCGAGCAAAATCAACGCCACGGAACTCAGTACCAAGTAAGTCAAAATATATATATTTGTCTGTTTAACCGAGTGTTTCACCCCTTATCTTTTTGACATATTAACACATTAATAAATGACAAAGACTATTGACACAACTAGACGCAACCTCAAGAAACGGAAAATTTCTAAATTACGAAAATCTAAACTCCGCGTAGCAAAGAGACACCGGAAATCGAGTCAGCTCTCACAGAAACAATTAATAGCTTTGTAACGATGCAGCATGCATCGTCACGGCTACGGACCGAACATCGTCCGTAGCCAAAAAGGGCGCATCGAGCGCCGATAAATTATCTTGTAAACACCGACGGTCAATCGCCGGACGATCCCCCACACCCGACCGTTCCGAAAACTTACCAGGTGGGGGTCCGCCGATCAGTGATGCAATCTTTCCCACAGCGGTCTCGGCTCAACTGCCTCACACAATCTTACAGAAGCGCTACGTCACGTATCCGTGTGAGCTCGGCTGTTCAACCAATGGAAGAGAGCGAACGTCTCTCTTCCACCGAGCCGACACACAGACGATAAATGCATGCTACTTGCATGTTAAAAGCAAGCGTTTCTGATTCAGAAAAGAAATTCTGAGGCGAGTGGCTGAAATATTAGAGATCACCTGTTCGAGACCTGCTTCGTGCAACTTTCTTTCTTTTTTCCGGCATTTGTTTCTAACATAGTAAATTATTAGATATTTTTTTTTGCCCAAAAAAATAATATTTTCGTATTTATTATTAATATTCGCATATGTTAAATTAACAATTTTAGAAATAATACAGATTTGCTATTGTTAATAGAAAAATGAAATTATTTTACAATGTTGCAACAAAGTGCTAATTTAACATATGCGAATATTTTTAATAAAGATAAAATAATTTCTTTTAGCCAAAAACATTATCTAATAATTTACTTAAAATAAATATCGAAAAGGAAAAGTTAACAAAATCACAGTTTTCAAATACGAGATTTTTAATATTCTTGCCATTTGCCTTACTCGTTTAGCCATGCTTGCTATTTTACATTTATCAACATGAAAGATTACACACCTGCAAAGCTTTTAATTATTTATTTTAAACTACTGCATATTAGCAAGAGTCACTGCAGTAACTACATATACATGGTACTGTGGAGATTAGTGGAGGAAACCACA